ATTCGCAGTAGGATTACGGCATTCAAAATTGCATGGCTCTAGATACCGTTGTTTTATCACAATGTGAGAAATATGCATACATTTATGCAGATTTTTCATTGTTTAATTTCTTCAAATATAATGCAGGACTCTAACATTTTGTGGCAACAGTTTGAAAAGTGAACCGACATTTATAGGAGTCCGACGCAAAATGCCAAAACGAAAGTAACAGTCCTTCGGGACTCAGATTCCTTTGGACTATAAAAAAAAAAAAAAAAAAAAAAGAGACAGAGTGAGAGAGAGAAAGCATACTACGTCCTAGTATTTCAGGTATCATATTTCAACAGCTCTCGAAACCATTGACGTTTTTGCGTGACATCTGTACGTACGGACACGATAAAGGCCATTTTTTCCCCCAAAATGATTTAAATTGGAATCAGAAGAGAATATTTTTTTCTTGACGTCTGTACGTCTCTCGCATAATTCAAAAAAGATAAGCCGTAGAACCTTAAGATTTTGTAGATGGGACTGTTATACTGCTATAACATGTAACTGTGCACCTCCCCTTTTCGTTGCAATCGGCTGCACCAATTATATATTTTATATATATGTCATGACTAATCTGCATGAGATAATTGTAGATGAAGGCACTGGAACTTTTAACAGCTTTCGATATTGCGTAGATGGCTGAGAGAGACCGTAGTGGCTGAAGGTAGGGCTAAGTGGAAAAGCATGATGACGCATTTAGCGCAAATGAGCTTGAAGAATCACAATCTTTATTTTTTACGCATATCACATCATACTTTTGCAGACAAAATATTTCTTAATTATAGTTGAATACAATACGTTTTATTTTAAAGTACAACGTTATCTTAGGCAAATGTCTTGCCAGCACGTAAGCGGGGAAGGAAAAAAAAAAAAAAAAAAAAACACTGCAACTCAGAGGAAGAAGGGAGGGAGTCGATAGTTTCAGTTAAGGTAAGAGAAAGTTTCGGTTTATAATTATTTGATTGGGCAAAAGGTGTCTGCATTAAATGTTACGTAGTAAAGAAAGATCTTGAATTTGAGAGAACAGATGAATTTAGGGAAAAAGCATAAAATCTAGAACCGTTAATTTTGAGGTCGCTAAGTTATTTTTAAAGTAGCTATCGTATTTTTTTTTTATATCTTACATATATATATATATATCCCCACTGTGTTACCTGGCACGGTGAACTTAGTTTTTTATTCTTATTGTGTTAGTAAATTGTGCATTTTTTCCCCTTTAAAAGTGACTGAATTATGTATTTTCTATGTTCTAGATAAGGTTTTTATACCTTTTGTTAATCTGCATTAGATAGTTGTAGAATTAGCAACAATTTGAAAGCTTAAGTGGCGAGTTAAGCCTAAAGAGACGCCATTGTTTACATTTGAAACTTGGCAGAATAGTGAATTAAGTCAGTTTCTGCACCTTCAATGTCTTTTTACTGAGTGAGACCAAAAGTAAACTGTCAGTTTTGTGCACCACAAAATATGTCTTCTTGCCAGCTGATCGATCCTTGTTTTTGCGTAGAAACTGTAATTAATTGTAAAAAAAAAAAAAAAAAAAAAAAAAAAAAAATTAATATTTTTAAACTGTATTCAGTGTTTTATGTTTTTCTATATCTTTACATTTTTAATGTAAATTTTTTTGTGTGTTTTTATTATTTTTGTTTTGCCGCGAAGTGAGAACTGAATTAATTGAATGAGAAATACATCTCTAATGAAATTCGAGGAAATAAGTGTTTCATACTGACAGAAAGTACTACTATCGCTAGTCTGTTTCGGACAGAGGAGAATGTTTACGAGTATCGCATGCGCATTGGGTAAGCAGCGCTGAATCGTCTGTGAAGAACTGTTTATTTTTCCTTTGTTTAATTTTTTTATACATCGTTTTAGATTTTCTATAAAATTTGAATAGAACATGTGGGAACGATTAGATAATTCTTCAGATGATTTTTTTTTCATTCCGAGTTATGAAATGAATGAGATGTAACACTGTGAAGTGAACCTATCACCAGAGTATCGCTATGATAAATATAGTGAATTTTAAAAAGTGCATTGTGGTTTATCCCCTATCCACGAAGTAGATTTAATTCAATAAGTTTAAATGAAATGCAGGAAAAATGCGTTTAATTTAATATTCCGTGCACGGAAGTCATGTGGTGTACACATCAGGTTTTTTTTTGTTTTGTTTTGTTTTTTTGTTTTGTTTTGTTTTTTTGTTTTTGTTTTTTGTTTTAATCATTACTACAAATTTGAAAAATCGATTTTCCCAAATTTTCGAAATAATAATCAGAAAAAAAAAAAAAAAAAAAAAAAAAAAAAAAAAAAATACTGTAATTAAGTTAAAAACAGTTTAATAGTTCAAGAGCAACCTTTTAAAAAATGTTTGTTGAAAATAAGGGGCGCAGCGCTATTAATTTATGCCTTTCACCTTAATTACTGTTTCGTACTCCAAATCTAAAAGTACGATACATATTTTTGAAACCATCAATATTTATTTTTTTTAAATCAACACAAAAACATGGATTACTGGAAAGTTAATAATATTCCCTTAAAGAATACATTGAAAGTATTCAAAAGCTATCTGCTAAAGGAACACCTCCTTCCTAGAAGGTTATCTAAGAATTGGTTTGGAATTATGTCAGAGCATGCAAGGGCTATTTGTTTAAGTGAAGGGATACCTTCATGGCGGACTTTTAAACGGAAATTCCACATATCCGCGTTATACAAAGGAAAAACCACGAAAACACCCATGCACCAAACACGTTCGGCGGAATGGCTAAGGAAAGCTGGCTCATATTTACGTCATACGTATAAGAAGTCAAAAATATCTGTGAAGCCCGCCCATTCCCACTCACTGGGATTCGAATTTGGATCGCACTACTATTGTCGAGCAGTTTGATTCCCTCGACCAATCACATGCAGAATGGTGAGTTCTCGAACCGGTGCTGGGAATTTTCAGGTTATTGACGAAACTTTCAACAAAGTGATATATGCAAATCTCTTGAAAAGGAATGACAGCAAGTTTACATTGGAATAGCAAACAGATGCAGTTGTCCGAAGTACATACTAAAAGTAGTTCAAATATCGCTTCCCTGTAGACTGAATAGCTAATAAAACTGAAAACAGCATATTTTAAACTTTATGATTAACACATCGCGTAAAAGATTAAGAAAATACGATATAATCCGTTACCGAATTACAAAAGCTAACAGAATATTACTACATATATAGAATTCTAATAATCTATATACACGCACACATAACTGCAAAAACTTTTCACTAACTTCGAATCCTATAACTTTTTAATATTCATTTGAGGAACTTATACACAAACCAAAATTGTCAACTAAGTTGTCTAAGTAATTTTGGAAGCCACTGTATTCTTTTAACTGTAAAAATTCAGACGCATGAAGTACCCGACATCGAGAATTCTGTTGAAGGAATCAAAAGTATTATTGCTAGAGTAAATGTTTTATAGATGATATATTTCATACTACTCGGAATTTAGGTACACACCGAACTTCATTATCTAAAATAAAATTAGATATAATAAATTCCATAAAGTAACAGACAAGTCAAATTTTCACGTACTGAATTTCTGAGAATATAGCTAATAATCGACGTAAATTATAAATTTACATTCATTTTCTAATAGCTTCCAGCATAGTAATGCAACATGTTTTAATTTCGGCAAAAATCATCAGTATCTTAACTATGCCACTGAATTGCTTAGGATTACAGTTCGCTTCATAGTTGGAGCATATTTCACGCATTTAAGGGGCATTTCAAACTAATGTACTGCCATGATTCAGTGGTATACAAAATTGATTTGAAACTTATTTCACACATCAGATTCTATTTTAGATGCTGAGTCTCATCGCTAAATTTCCTGTGATATGTCTCGCAAGACTTCTAGAAGACATATCGTGATCAACATTTGTCTCAGGTCAGTTACAGATGAAATATATGTGAAGGTCATAAAATATTGTTTAAATAAATTATTTCCTGCATTTTATTTAGTTAAAACTAATTAGAATTCACCAAAAGGTTACCCACAGTATTGTTCCATCACTTCAAAGTAAGCCAAAATGCGAAAATCCGAGTTTTGCAACTCAACGTTACGACAACTTATCTTCAGAGTTCTTTATAATATAAATATCAACTAGTTATTCATACGATACGTAATGAGTAATATTACCATACTTTTAACTTGAGAATTTTCATTTGTTTCACTATATTTTGATTAACGAATACGGTAAAATATAAAATGTCTATCTGCCTAAGGCAACAGATGCAGAGGACTTTTTAAGAGACACTGGCTCATTATCTGTGTTACGCGCGAGAAAATCACGAAAAACCCACGCAGTTACCGCACTCACCATTATTCTGACACGGACCGAATTATCACAACTCGGCGATTGGCGTTTCCTCACTTCTTCATGCCTTCCTCTGCTAATTACTCAGATAGAATCGAATTCAAAAAATTACTTCTCACGCTGCTTCAAGGTTAAAAAATTTTCAAATGCATACTTGTTATCATTACAATTCTTATTAAAACTTCAAATGTATACTTCTATTTGAATATAGTTACAGATGCAGATTATTAACTATTTTAAAAAAATTATATTATTCAGAAATCTATAACAGGACGAACACAGAATTCCTTCTCGTATTATTGTTATTTTTGAACAAACACCATTTATAAAATATTCGTCTCTTATATTTTTGACTACAAAGAGAAATATAACAACTGAAACCAAGAAACTGTATTTTATTATTCAATGTAAAAGTATTTTTAAACATCTGAAACAGAAAACACAGAACAAACATATGAAAATCATCAAGTCGCGAATTCACTCCTCTGCTACAAATAACTTTTTTATAGCCGGGCCCAGAAGCGTGCGCCAACAGTTAGGAATATTTATTTTGGCATAAAAACACATCCAACTCAAATTTACACTACGCGGAGGAAGGGAAAAAAAAAGCCTATTTACCATGTGAAGTTTCCATAAGTGGTTATTGACATATTTCAGGTGTGCAACCACCCCACGACGTCTGACACCTCGCCCTGTAGAAGAGAAAGTTACATTGTTAATTTCGTCAACATACACGAAAATATATTCATGGTACAGGCACTCAGGAAAAAATACAAATAATTCTACTGATTATAAATTATTTCAAAATCATACGTTGGCTTGTACTAGAATTATAAACAGCGGCAACCAAATGTTTATTACTACTAAAATGCAATGCGACGCAGTAGTTCACTTCAAACACGAAGATTAAAATTACGAATTGGAGAAAACTTTGAAAAACTAACACTTCCTTGTTAACGTTATTTTTTGAAGAAATATCTCCTGTGTAGTTGGAAATTTTAATTTTACCAATAATTTGAAAATTTTAATTTTAACCACGAAGGCATCCAGGTATTGGAAAATTTTAATTTTACTAATACCTGGATGCCTTCATGGAAGACTTTCTAAGGAAAACTGGCTCGTATACACGTTACACATGGGGAAAGCCACGAAAGCGCCCATGCTGCCAGCCCGTTCGCGGGATTCGAACATCGGACCGAACTACCAGTGTTCAGCGACTCTACCGCTCGGCCGCCCGAAAATGTACGAGACACATTCATCAGTACTTCCTTGTTAAAGCAACCACCGCGGTTAGGTGAGAAATTAGAAAATTTAATTTCCGATCTGAACATTGCTTGGAGAGGTCATTAGCGATTTTTACGGTAAATTCGCTGAACACTAGTTATTCGAGCCGAATTCAAGTTTCGGCGAAACGGCTGGCGTCATAAGAGTTTTCGTGATCTGCCCCTTGTATAACGAGAATACAAGGTAGTTTTCTTAAAAATTCCTCCCTGAAGGCATGCCTCCCCTTAGGCAGATAGCCCTCAAGTGCTTTGCCATAATCTAAATAAACCAATTTTACAATGTGCAAATTTCAGATGTTGCCAAAAACTTATATGGTCTCTTTAACAAGGAAGTAACTACTCACAATTTAATTTTGAACTTTCTAAAGAGATAACTTGAAAAATCATACAAAAGGACTTCTTAAATAATATTATCTAACATTACCATTTTTATCATATTTATAAATTTTTGCTACATAGGACCAAAAATGACAGTTACTCGAATCTCCCTAATTTCTGCATGCCTTCGTGGTGTAACGGTACTACACTCGGCGCGTATTCGAGAGATTCAAGTTCGAGTCCCGGCGAGGGCATTGCTCTTTTTTCATGTCTCCAGCATAAAAAATACCTAATATGTCTACAGGCGACCGAACTAAAAGGTAGTGGATGATGATATTTCACCACCAAGATTTGGCGATTTCCTTAGTCCTCAGTCGTCCTTTTAAAAGGGGGGTGGTATGAAGTATTTTCTCCCTCCTTTTCTACATGCCTTCATGGTGTAACGGTACTACACTCGGCGCGTATTGGAGTCCCGACGAGGACATTGCTCATTTTTTACGTCTCTGCTTCAAAGTAACCTAGTGACTTTAACATATTTTAATTACGCTTATTATGGCAAAGCATTCTAGACCTGGTATGGAAGAACGGTTCTACGAAAATTTTTTGTCTTGAACCAGCTAGCATTTACCTCACTGGGGGAGGGGGAAGAGATTGAAGTATTCATGTAACCACCCTGCTCTGTTATAATAAGTCAAAATAACGACTGAACTAACTATTCTTTTAGTCATTTGGTCTAGTTTGGTTTGTTTGAGTAAAGCAGGTAAGGGCTGTTTGCCTGAGGAAGGGATGCTTCCGTGGAGGTCCTTCTAAGGAAAACTGGCTCGTATTCATGTTAAGAATGAGGAAAAACATGACAGCGACTTTACCACTTGGCAGCTGGTGAATCCTACTCTCATCTGAATATTATTGAGCGTATTTACATCTTGGATTTAATTGGATTATTTGATTAGGGTGCAGCGTATCAGCGCCATATCTTTATCACGAAAAAATGTCTTTGCGAAGGGTTTTACGGAAAATTACTCCGTGTTTGAGCTATGAATGATAAAAAAGCCACGAAACCTTCAAGTAGCTATCATGTAACTTAAAATAATATGCGTGTATAAGCTTTATTATTCTTACAGCCATAATAAGGATGTTTAGCGGTCTGCTTTTAATGCTATTAAAAAAAAGACACTAAAAATTTTAAGAAAATAAGGAGGAGGAGTACGAAAGCAACGTTTTAATAAAATCCTGCTGATGTTAAGTTCTCGTATTAAGTAAAATACAAAATGTTCATTATTGTATTTGATGGAAATGTTATATAGACTAATGAACTGCAATTCAAATACGTTACAAATAATTTCAAGCTATATTGGACAACAAGAGTACTTTTTATACATTTTTAAACTCTATTTCATTTTTTTAAACCATCCTTTAAAATATTTTCTCTACATACAAAAACATGCGCAATCGTAAAACATACTAGGCATTAAACTACTTTCAACGCTTACTGTAAAACGGCATGTTTGAATACATTGTGATAACACTGATTGTACACATTTAATAACATCTTATTAATTTACTGTAAGTTGTGCGACATTAGCATAAATCATTGTAAAAGTATAAATAAGTATTGCATACGTAACTAAAAATCAGTTCTACCTTTAGATAACAGGCCATTTATAAAAGCCATTTCAGACATATGAATAAGGCACTTGCATAGTGTAAATGAACTGAATGGTACTAATTTATGAAATCTATGGAAGTGAAAAGCGATGGTAAAAGAAATCGCAATGATAGTTGTTTTTCCAACAAAATGCAGATATGACTACAAATGGGGAGAGAAGATTACAATAACGACATACTCTGCAGTGGGTGAGTGGTGAAAAGTTAGAAGTGTATTCCAACCGAAAAGAGCAAACTATGCAAAGAGCTTCATAAAGTGACGAAAAAATTTATTGTTCTTATTTACCCACCAGCAGCCGCACGGATTATAAGACCGCTAAGTGTTAGTACTTTTTCTTGAGTTCGACAACCGGCAAACGGACTCGCTATATGTCTATTTCATGATTTTCGCCATGTGTAATATGAAATACGTTTGGCTTAATTTGATTATAGCAAAGCACTCTAGGGCAATCTGCCTAAGGGGAGGGATGCTTTAATGGAGGACTTTCTAAGAGGAACTGGCTCGTATATACGTTACACATAGGGAAAACCACGAAATCGCCCATGCATCCAGCCCTTTCGCGGGATTAGAACCTCGAACGAACTACCAGTGACCAATAAATATAACGCAGAAGACAAATTATTAATAAACTTTTAAAGTTCCCTTTCCTTTTATGTATATTTACGCTTTATTCAAACAAACAACAAAAGAAAAAAAAAATAACAATGCAGAGGCAAGCATTGCTTTCACTTTCGGATGTATAAATATAATTTCTTTTCATCAATATTTTTAAAAAATAATTGCAAGAATGTTTATCACAATGTAATAATAATAATTTTATTGTATGGCACCATAAATGGTTACAAAACCTTTAATCACTTAATAGAGAATATTCACTACTACTGCCTATTTCTATGTCTCTTGCTGTTAATTTCCCCTCCTAAATTACAATGAACTTCACGATCTGATGTAATTTGACTCGAGATAAGATTATTATTACTAACATCAAACACTTCGAAGGTAAACTCTCGGAGTTATTTATTGTTTCCAGTTCAAGGATCCGATGTTGTGGTAAAATCAGAAATATTGCACTTATGGGAAATACTTATTGCAAACCTCATGCGTAAGTGTTTCAGTAAAATAATGAAGTATTTTATTTATCAAATACGTGCACAGTTTTCTACATCGAATTAGTTTATATACTGATTTCCAAAATTGAAGCAACACATAATTTGGATATGTTACGCATAAAAACATGCAGCATCGAAGAGTGTTATGCATAAGAGTAGTGCAGCCATCACTTGCATAAATATGTTACAGCTTAAAACCAGATATTTAGGATAGAACCGCTATTCAATGAACGACGGTATTAAACAGTAGTTTCGAAATAGGGAAAATGAGAAAATGAGTTAGAGGCGAAATTTGCTACCAGGATTGCAGTATAGAGACCTACGACGATTAGAAGCAAGCCAACGACGGTCTGACGCTGCAAGAGGGCAAAATGTCGATCGCTCCGTAGGAATCCGGTTGTGGAACCAATTACTAACAACTGGTTCAGCTTTTCAAAGACCTACCCCTTCTTCAGACGACAGGTATTCGCGACTTGGTGCTCGTCGCAACAGATCTGCAACTCCACCTCAGCTTAGATCCCGACTTTTTTCTTCCACAGGAAGTGTTCGCCAGCGGATGAGCGGTAAAATCGCTGAGCACTGGTAGTACCGAACTGGGTTTGAATCCAGGCAAACGGGCTGGCTGCATGGACGTTTTCGTCGTTTTTCCATGTTTAACCTGTATGCGAGCCAGTGTCTCTTAGAAAGTTTTTCACGAAGGCATCCCTTCCCCCCCCCCCAAGCAGATAGCCCTAGTGTGCTTTGCCATAATAAACTAACCAAAATATTCTGCAGGAAGGAAAGTATTAGCCAAAGCAGTATGCAGAAGGCTGCATTAAAGAGATCTGTATGTTAGGCCCTGTATGTCCCGTTATTTTCGCCACCGGAGGAAGAATCTAAATTTGGCACATAATCTCCCATGTAAACTATACTGAAAAGCAGTGGAGGTTTATTCTGTTAAGAGGAATGAGTCCCACTATATTTTACCGAGTAACAGAGAGAGAAGCAAACACTCGGTATGTTCCGTCTAACGTACGGGAAAGGGATACTTATGGAGGAGGTAACGTTCTTGTATATGAAAAGGAATAACTTTAGGTAACGCACGGACTTGCATGTGCTACATGGAACTCTCAATACTAACAGGTACAAAAGACGATATACTGGATCGTAGTTCGTCCAATATGTTGCCGCAATTTGCGATATCTTCATTTTACAAGCAGATTGTGACTCTCCCTGCTCTCCTCTTTCACCATTTCCTTGAAGAAGAAACTATAGTTCAAATGGAATGCCTGCCAGGCTGTTAAGAACCTTAATTTCAATGATCATTGTGGTACGCT